CCCCAAAACCCCAAAACCCCAAAACCCCAAAACCCCAAAACCCCAGCTCTAGATCTTCGGGTTGCAATTTAATTTGAGATTATGAAATTCTGATTATTCTGGAAGCTCAAAGTGGTTGTACTTTATTTTAAAAATCCTGTCGTCCTTTTTTAGATGTTTCTTTGCTGCCTTTGAGAATTCAGGCCAGTCTTCTAGATTGGTACTGTATTCTTTGGGCGATATTTTGATTTTGAAGATATCATTAAATGGATTGTTCCTGATAAACACATTGGCGGGGAACTTTGAGCTCAAGAGCTTGTGGTCTTCGAGGATTTTTGATTTGTACATGTATTTTATGTTCATGATGTAAGATGGAGATGTTTTTTCGAAGATCTCTTTTGCAACAAGCAGATGCTTGACCCCTTCTCTGTAGCTTTGGAAGATCTCTTTTTCTTTGTTTATGTACTTCACCATATACTCATACTGTCTCTTAGTGGGATTACAAGAAGCTATGAGCTCGTCAATCGGAGTAAAATTGTGTTTTTCTTTAAATTCTGATATTTGGTATTTAGACAATTTTAAATATTTTTGGATCGTCACATAATCTTGTATAGGAGATTGGTCAAAGTCACCCCAATATTTGCTACTTCAAGCCAGGGTATGGATGATTTATGAGTGCTTCAAAGGTGGCATCCAGAAACTCTTTATGAATTCTGATCTCTTCTCTTATGCCGCCCTCGAAACAGTCTACTAAAGCTTCTTTAATTTCATGTTTATTTCTTCATGGTTTCTCTATCAATAAACCTCTCACATACGCCATCTTGTATATTATTATACTTCTCAATAAACGATACAGAATCTTTACCAATAACCTCAAGCTTGTCGTTCCTGTACGATATTAACAAATTTTGGAGTCTGAAGTTCTCCCTTTCAAGCTCGGCCACTCTCTCCTCCAGTTGTTTAAAATACATCTTTTTGCGATCTCTTGATTTATTTAGACCTATTCCTTCCACTTTGCCTTTTAATTTCTATTTTATTCTGTTTCTCCTTAATTCATCCACTACTCCCAACCCTCTCACTCAAATCCTGATTCTCTCCTCTATCCTTCCCAAACTCTTGGTCAAACCCTTCAAATCCCACCTCACTTGGTCCTTCTCTTTCTTCTATCCCTTCAAAAATCTCTTCTGGTCCAAACTCTCAGTCCATAATAAAATCCTCTTTTTCTAAACCTAAAATTTTCAATAATTATTTAACAGTGCGGGGTTTTGGGGTTTTGGGGTTTTGGGGTTTTGGGG